GGGACCGAGCAGGGCGACGCGGCGGCGGGCGAGCGCGAGGAGCTGCTGCTGCTGCAGAGCACGGCGGAGCAGCTGCGCCAGACGGCGCTGCAGCAGGAGGCGCGCATCCGCGCCGACCAGGACACCATCCGCGAGCTCACGGGCAAGCTGGGCCGCTGCGAGAGCGGCCTGCCGCGCGGCCTCCAGGACGCCGGGCCCCGCCGCGACACCATGGCCGACGGCGCCTGGGACTCGCCCGCGCTTGTGCTGGAGCTGGAGGACGCGGTGCGCGCCCTGCGGGACCGCATCGACCGCATCGAGGTGAGCCCCGCGCCCGCGCCGTCGGGGAGCCTCCGGGTGGGAGGGGCGCGGCCGCCTGGGACTTCGGGTGCTCCGCAGTCGCCTCAGTCCGCGTGGCCGTGGCCATGGCCGAGAGGGGGGATCGGGAGGGTGCCGGCCTGGGACGCACGCAGGCAAGCATCGTCTGTCATCCGGACCGCTGCACCCGGGATGCGCCAGGAGAAAGGATTGGTGCTGAGCCCCTTTCCTCTCCAGGCACGGCTCCCAGCCTCAGTTTCTGCAGCTGTAAAATGGGTCCTCCTGGTGGAAATCGATTGAAACACAGGCGTGTGGAAATGCTTGGCAGGTACTAGGATCTAATTAAAGATCCACTTCAGTTCCTTCTCCTGGAGCCCCCAAAACCGCACCAGCCCACACTATGGTCAAGAGATAGGGTGCACTGCCCGAGGGACTCGAGGTCTTACTCTTTCATCGAAAAACAGTGAACAGGGCTTCATAATACAAAACAGGGTGCCCCTCACCACCTCCCACCCTTGAATGAATGGACTCAGTCTATTGACCCCTCCTCAGAAGCTGGCGGGGGGCAGCCTCAGACTCCTGAAACCAGGCTCCTGGGGGGATGGGGTGGTGGAGAACAAGACTTCACCTCCACTCCTCCTCCATTGTATGGGGGATCCTGGGCCAGACATTTCTCCAGACTGGGTGCTACCAACAGCTGTGGACAGCCCTGCCAGGGACTCATTTCTAACCAGGAGGAAGAGGCTTAGATCTGTGGAAGAAGAGGACAGAAAGGCCAAGGTGCCAGCTCCCCGCTTGCTTCCTGGTCCCAGACTGAGTGTGGCCAGGAAAGCCAGAGGAAGGAGTTGAGGGGGGATCCCACCCTGAGTTAAACCCCTGGGCAAGCAGAACAGACAACATCCATGTGGAAGGGTGGAGAGAGGAGGAGGCGCTCTGGGGATGAGGGCCGGAGGTCCTAGAGCTGAGAACAGGAAAAACAGCCAGGGAAAACTCAAAGTCCAAGGTGAAGGGAATCTCAGTTTTCTTACCTGTAAAGTGGGCATAAGAGCAGCATGGGCTTCACTGGGGCAACAGAGGGCAAGGGAGCCAATTTCTGTAAAAGGCCAGAAGAGTGCCTGGCGCAGAGGTCTGATCAATCAATTGGAGTGATTGCTTTTTAACCACATGCTATAATGTTACTACTTTCTAAAATACAACCAAAAATAAAAACAGGACCACAGTCTCCTTTTAGGAAGCAGATTTTATGAATGTAAAAATAATTTCATTTCTGGTCCACCTCTCTTCTTGCCTACCATGGCCCTGCCCCCACACCCAGATGGCACAGGTGGCTCCTCCCATGTCTGGGGCTGGCAGGGCCAGGCTGGCCCTGGAGCTGTTCCCAGCACCTGCGGCACTTGGCAGGGTGGGCTCCCCTCCCGGGAGCCTGCTGAGGCTGGGGGGATCCTGGGATTTGGCAGCAGGTCAGGCTTCCAGACGGGGGAGCCCCGGCTTCCCTGCATGCACCTTCTCGTGCAGCAGGGTGGAGGAAGAAAGGCAGGGGCTGCCTGGCCCCCAGGGCCCCTTCCCAGCCTGGCTGTCCCTTGGGGGCATTTGGCAGGGGCTTTGGTCTACAGCCATCAGACTCTTGGTCTCTGCTGGGTCCCTTTTAGCCACTTCTAATTTCTTCCCTCTGTCCTCATCAGTTATCCTCAAAGCCTCCAGACTTTCTTCAGGGTCTGCCCCCACTGCCCTGAAAGTGCGCTGGCGGATGCCCCCAGACTTGATGAAGCGAATGAGGACATTTCAGTCCTTCTCTTGCTGGGTGCCCTCTGACCTTGGACCGGCCTCCTTCTCTCCCACAGACCTCAGGCCCTTGGCCCCTGTGTGTCTCCCTCCGCCCTTCCGCCTTCTCCCCTTTCTGGTCCTGTGGGGTTTTCCCGCCCCTAGGTGCCCCTGTCCTTTTCCCTGGGTGAACTCAGCCTCACCCTGGGCTTCCAGCACCCACTCCACAGTGGGCCTCAACCAGATCTGTTTCCAGAGCCCACTGCCTGCTGACCACCTGCCTCTGGCTGTCCCCGGGTCCTAACCACACCCTCCTGCACTCCAGCTTGCACCCAGGGCCCTGCCAACCTGCTTCGCGGGGTGCTCTGTGGAGTTGTACTGGGATCCTTCCCCCTCCTAGCTCGGGTCAGCTGGCCTCTCTGCTGGTCTCCCACATCCTGCACACCTGGTCTCCCCCTCCTCTTTCTCTTCCTCCTCCAGGCAGCACCAAGAGTCTGGGGTACAAACTCCCCAGTCTGCCCTTCAGGATGTGGTCACCTGTCTATCCTCACTTCCCAGTTCTCTGCCTCTGCCCAGATCCCTCCAGCACGATCTTCCCCTCCCTCTAAGAGCCTGCACTGCGGTCACCTCCTCGCAGAAGTCTTCCCTGCACTCACTCTGTCCCTTCTACCCCTGCCCACGCTCCCATAATCCTCACCCGGCTGCGGCCACCTGCGTATCTCTGATTCACCTGGTCCCCACCAGACCTGACTACGAAAGGTGAGGAGGGTCAGCTGGCCGGGTCTCCCTGCAGACCCCTCACTGGGGGCACATGTGAGGGCTGAGGAGAAATTGGTTTTCTTGTTTATGTCTTGTTGCGGTTGAAAAAAGTCAAAAGGGTGAGGAAATTACACGTAATTCCTCCATTTTCTCCCTTTTGCAGCCCCCTCTCCCCATGCATGTGCAGCCATTGTTGGCGCTGTTGGGTAATTACCATCTTAGTGACTTCTGTCATCGTCCATCACCTGACCGGCTCTGGTACTGAGGATGTGGGCTGTTTCCGCTCCTCCTTCATCTCCTCCTCCTCCTCCTTCTTCTAGATGCTCACTCCCCAATCTGTTTTGCGCAGAGGCTTGTGTTTTGCTTCCTTCCAGTCTGTTGCTTTAGTTCTTTAGGCTGAATTCCCAGGGGTGCTATTCCCGGGTCAGAGGATATTGACTTTTGATGACTGTGGCCAAGAACCACTTTCCAAGAGAGCTGGACCATTTACGTGGCAACGGGCCATGGATGCGTGTCCCAGTGTCCCATTTTTGGGCTAGTTTGTGTGTACAGTAAAACTCCAAGATGGACTTGGACAGCATTTTTAAAAACATAGACTCTGTCCTGAACCCCGTCTGGCAAGCCGATTGGCTTCCCTCACCCTGGAGTGGGGGCCATGGCAAGGGACATCCTGATGGCAGTCCCAGAGGATGCCAGATTCAGGGGAACCAGGGATCTTGCTAGAACAACGGTTGTAGCTCACAGTTATGGACGCTTAATATGCACCAGGCACCATACAGCGTCTCACTGAATCCTCATATACTGTCTGTGGGGGAGTGCTAGTCTGTGCCCCTTTCTCCGAGAAACCAAAGTTCAGAGAGGTTAAGAAGTGGGCCCCAGGTCTCACAGCAATAGAGCTTGACCTTTCTAGTTCCAAAGCCCTTGTTTTCCTTCATTAACTCCCGACTCCTCTGCAGGGGTTGGGCCTCACCCACCTGCAAGACAGGGAAAGACAAGTGAGGGCGGTGCCCGAGGCTGGACACTCTAAGTGGACGGCTCCGGCTGATCCACAAAGGCTTGTCTGCTGCCTGCCAAAGTAACCTAGAGGCTGCACTAGTAGCAGGCGACACTTAGTAGGCACCCAGTGCCTACCTGTTAGCTATGCGGTCTGCTGTCCTGGGAAATAGGCTCGGTTCTTGCCTAATTCTCCCTTTCCCAGCCTCAATGTTCTTTTGTTTTTGTTTTTGACAATGGGGATTTAACCCGGGGCCTTTGCACTGAGCTACATCCCCAACCTATTTTAGTTTTTATTTTGAGACAGTCTCATTAAGTCACTGAGTTGCCCAGGCTGGGCTTGAACTTACAATCCTCCTGCCTCAGCCTCCCTAGAGTGTGGGATTACAGGCATGCACCATCATACCTGGCTCAGCCTTAGTATTCTTATCCGTAAAGGAGCAGGATGGTCCACTCTGTGGACCCTTCACGTCCTGCTCCCACCAGCAGTGGCCCCTTCATTCTGGCAAGAAGCCTGTCCTTTTAAACCCCACCTCTGCTACCTACTTGCTGTGACCTGAGACCACACCTTCTCCTCTCTGACCCTCAGTTTTCCCATCTGTCAAATGGGAATTGTCATCCCATATTCTTTCTTTGTTTTTTTTTTTTTTTTTTTTTTTTTTTTTTTTTTTTTTTTTTTTTTTTTTTTTTTTTTTTTTGGTTTTTCTCCGGTACCGGGAACCGAACTCACGACCTTGCGCTTGCCAGGCAGGCGCATCCCATATTCTTTCTAACACTTGCCCCTGACAGGGGTGACCCCCAGCTTGTAGGCACTGCTTGGACAGAAGGCGGGGCCCAACCCTATGGTCTATTTGGGAGTGTTTATCTTACATCCAAGCTGTGCAAATGCTCAAATATCCTGCTTGCAAAGGACCCAAAGCCGATGTGGACAGCCCCATGCAGATGTATGCGTGAGTAACACTCATGACAGCACCCCAGATCAAGAGTCACAGCAGTGTAGGCTCCCCAGAAGACTCAGCCATGCCCCCCAAGTCAGGGCCTTCCCCAAGGCTTCTCCTGCCAGGGGTCACTCCGCCCTGCACCTGAACCTGGGGCACTGTGCTCCTCCAAGTCTGGCTCTGGGGACAGTGGCTTGCCATTTGTCATTGCTGTTGCTGTCCCATTGCACTGCACCTTTGCTCTCTGACCCATACTCCTGTGGTGGATGTCCGAGCTGCAGCTGATGTCACACTCACAGCGGCTGTGGCCAGTCTCGTGGTATCTCCAGCTGCTATCAGCCCTTCCCCCAGATCTGTCCCCAGAAGTGGGAGGCCTGGGTGGTGGAGGGCATATATTTAGCATCGGTAGGTAGGTCCGGCCATACTTCTTCCCAAATTGGCTGTGAGCATTTGCACACCCACCTGCGTGTAAACCTGGCCAGCCTGGGCTTGGGGATTTTATAGCATCCCTGGTCCTGGTGGGTGTGCAGTGGACTTCTAACTTTCATTTGC